CTTCATTAATCATTGAAAATTTATTTTTCTATATTTCAACCGAATCAAGAATGATTTTTCAAAATCTTCGTCTGCTATTATTGAAAAAATTGTTATATACAAATGTGTTGATTATAAGATATATGATTTTTTTTGAAAACATAGTCTTTGATGCAAATTATGATTGAAAACCATTTATTGAAAACAAAATTCATTGCTCAAAAATGGATTTGTTGATTAACAATTTTTTCTACTACTTGTAATTAATATTGAGAAGCATTTTTTTTCAAACATAATTTATTTTGCTCTTTGATAACTATAAAAATCCCAATCAAATCCATTAGTTTTATGTGATGATTGTCAGACCAATGATCCACTATGGTGCAATTGCCTGGTGGCCGAAGGCATCACAGAAAATGGCCCAGGCGAAGCTCTCTGGCTTACAGATACAGGCTTGTCTGGCCATCAGAGATGTCATCAGTACCACACCGTCAGCGGCCATGGAGATCCTTCTAGATCTACCTTCTCTTCACATTTTTCTGGAGAGAAAGGCTTGATGGACTGCATATAGACTTGTGCACACTGCCAATTGCACAAATCAATTGACTGCAGAGTGCAACATACTGTTGGTTGACACTGGAAGTCACAGCATTCTGGAAATGACCTCTAACTTCATGCCTCCAACTGACAACTACGAACTGCCTTATAAAGTACTGTTCCCGAGCAGAGAGGGCTGGATTCTCCGGAAGAAGGAAATATTAAGAGCAGTAGTTGTTGGTTCGCATGGATCAAAAACACCTTCCAGTTCTGGTGCAGGTGTTTTAGTCGCAGATCCAGGACAGAGATATCAACCTGCGGAAAGTTACGCTATTGAATTGTGTGCTGAGTGATTGGAAGACTCTAACCTCATACACAAGTCAATGAAAATAATCTCGGACAGTTAGGCGGCTTTGGAAGCTCTTGGCTACTACCGAGCAACGTCTAAATTGGTAGCAAATTGCCAAAAACGACTTCTCAATAGGAATACTCAACAGATTGTCTCTGGTCTGGATTCCTGGCCATACTGGCCTGGAAGGCAATGAGACTGATGACTCCCTTTGCAAAGCAGGGTGTTGCAAGGAGCTTCATCGGACCAGAACCTGTCATTGGTATCGCTTTAGGCTTTGCCAAATTAAGATTGAACACCTGGCAGAATCTTCCAGGATTGGCTCACTCCAAGGCGTTTATTCACCCTTCGAAGTTTGATACCAAACAGTTGTTGGACTACAGCAGGGATGAACTACGATGTCTAATAAGCCTTCTTACAGGTCACTGTTATTTGAATCATCATATGCAGAGACTCGGACTATCGGAAGACAGTGTGTGTCGCCTCTGTTTGGAAAATGATGAAACAGCAGAGCACATACTTTATGCCTGCTCCGCTGAGGATAAGAGTTCGACAGAGCCGTACTCTTATCATCTGACTTGAAACACCACTCACCATAGACCCACTCACTTTGAACCTAACCTAACCTAACGAAAAATAATGCTTCTAGATAGATAGATAAATTTATTTCAACAGAGTATTTTGTGATCATTCACAGGAGTGGCCGAATAATTTTTTCTGAGAAATACGTCAAAAGGAAAAATATCAATATGTGTGCATATAAATCTTAACATTAAATGTTCAAAATGAATAGCTTTAAGTTTCAAACACGATTACAAACATTTTAAAATGTGCATTAAAAGTAGAGATAGTTTCTGTGAATACGTATATACATTTTGAATAGAATGAAATGTTAATATTACAACCGAATCAAGAACGATTTTTCAAAATCTCCATCTGCTATTGTTTGAAAAGTTGTTGTGAACAAATGCGTTGATTATAAGATAATTCAATTGTTTTTTAGAAACATAATCTTTGATGTGAATTTTGATTGAAAAAAACGTTTCTTGAAAAAAAATTAATTTCTTGAAAACGGATTTGCTGATTAACAATTTTTTTCTACCACTTGTAATCAATATTGTCAATTCTGTCAATTATAATATATTTTGCTCTTTGATAACTGAAAAAAAAAATTTCAATTCAATTAACAAAAAATTTCCTTCTCTATTTGAATATTATTTCAAGTTTGGAAAATTCCTGATAGTTTTTGAGATATCTGCAGCAACCAAACTCCTACTTTTTTTTCAGTTGATTGTTTAGAACTACTGCAATTTTTGCAAGCGCCACTTGATTTTTTTTAATCATCTACACGCTATTCCGAATCGAATGACACCTCGTTTATATTTTTCGGAGGCAGAGAAAAAATTTGATCTGAAAGGTACTCGACCTGAGTATCCTCTCATTTGAATTGACACTCAAACATATGTCAAATGCAACAATATAAAATAAATTCTTTATTGAAACCCTTCATCGTATTTCAAAATATGTATTGAAAAAAAATTTTGAGTACTTTGGTTTTTCTAACCTAGATGGTTTTCCACCGAGGGATCGGCCTATAAACTGATCCTTGTGGAGCATAAAAAACTAACAACTGCACTATAAAAATACTTCAACGATACTCATTTATTGGCGAGCTAGTAATGCAATCTGTTTCTAAATTGTATATAATTGTCATCGGTCTAATCCATCATATTAAAGAGACATCGATCATTACAAGGTCAACGTTGCGTGTTTTCGAACTTCCAAGTTATAAAGACGGTCGATCACATCGACAGAACATGTTTACGAAGATGAATGTATTGCTTTCTAAAAATAGGGAACAACAAAAAAATATTTGTTTGGTTTTAATTTCATGACCTTCGCAGGTACAATTAGTAGATATGGATCAAGCCGTAAAAAGAAACACGTTTCGTATGAAAACATTAATGGACTTGGTTGTTAATGAAAACTCGATGATGAGATATTGGTTTGTATTTTCGTTTTGGTGATATTTTGACATAATGTTGAGAAAAATGATAACTTTCAATAAAAAAAAACGCTATCGTTCTAACATTGTGATATCATGATGAAGCTCAACAATTTTGAAAACATTTAAAAGTAAACGCCAGAGTCAGAATTTTTGGAATACGCTACAAGCAGTAGTACCATTTCGGCAAAAGTACTTTTTATCCAAAATCTGTAACAGTTTTCTTGATGTGCGTTCTTTCAGCCTAATTAGCGTCATCAGTAACTGATCTTGAGTAACTGCTGTTTCTAACTTAGCTAGATTATATCAAATAGAGTCAACCATTTCTTTCACTTTTAGTATCTCATCAATGACCTCTCAGATAAAAACTATATTGAAAGCAAGAGCTCTAAGTAGTTGTAGAAAAAATAGTTTCAGTTTTCTCTAACAAGAAGTTGTAACAGATCTAGTAGACCTCTAGCGGGAAGGATATTTATATCACAGATAATGGAGTGAGGCATTGAAAGCTTTACGCCGGTTACAGTGGATTTTAGTCCGCCTGACATACTCAATCAATCTATCAATAATCTATTTTCCTGAGACAGATCAGACCTTTTTTGAAGTATTGTATTCTTGTATGGAGCTCTGCCCCCAAACATACCCTGAAGTTGCTGGATTCCATCCAGGAAAGAACCATCCGCCTGATTGGAGACGCGAACATCACGTGCAACCTTGATAGTCTGGAACATCGAAGAAAGGTTGGAGATTTGTCTCTCTTCTATAGATACTTTCACGGGAGGTGTTCAAGTGACTTGGAACATTTGATTCCACCAAGAGCGGTACATATTAGAAATACGCGATGTACTGTGGCTGCTCATCGTTTTGAGGTTCAAATGAATACACCTCGAACTTTACTCTTTAAAAACTCTTTCATTTGGAGAACTGCCTTTATGTGGAATAAACTTCCTGAGAACGTTTTTCCAAAAGGATTTCTGTGGTACTTGTGTTTTGTCCTCGAAAAAAAAACAACATTCTCCGCAGCTGGGTGAAAATGCCTTGGAATGGATTATTGTTAGCTCCAAGATGGATGGAAGTACCAATTTTTCAGACAGAATTGCTAGTCATGTGTAAGAATATCATTTCTAAAAGTCATTTATTTGTGCGTCTGAACTAATTTGGGCCCGCAAACAATATCCTTAAGGCAACTAATGTTCTCACGGAGAAGAGATCTTCAGGTCTTCTTTCGGGATCAGAATTTTTCTGTAGAATTTTGCAAATGACAAAAAGAAAGAACTTTGCTATCGTTAATTGAATCAGTTAAAATAATAGTGAAATATATCAGGTCGAAGACAAACGAAAAGTTTGATAACCTACCACCAAAGGAAGTAGAGCAGTCTTTAGAGTTGAAGAAAAATTTCTGAGATTGATAACGGAGATTCTACTACAAGATACCGTTCATCGAAGACAAATGATCAGATTGGATAGTGAGACTTGTCCCTAATGCAAATTCACCACAGAAAATGCAAAAAAATGCTTTGAGAATGTGAAGTTTCTTGAAGGGATGACAGTGACGCCTGGAGATATAAAACCCACCTCCAAAAAACTGATAAACTTTGCCAGAAATTTCAACATTCTGAAAGTGGAATAGTTTTGGGTATCATAAAAAACACTATTGAGGAGGTAGGTCTTGCGATTTGTGAAATGGACTTCCAAGAATTAGAGGTACCGATTTTGCCAACAAGATAACTTTTTCTTTTCTTCATTAGAATTTTCTTAGCTTTTCTCTTCATCAAATCATTTATTACCTGGGACATTAGTCAGTATCAGACTTCTGAATGCTTTTTCGTAATGAAAAAAATGGAAATCAAATAAGGCGAACTTACATGGTTTGAAACATTTCTTTACGGGAAAAATGGAGATGGAGGAGTAGAAACCCAAAAACCTAACTCTCCTGAAAAATTCTGTTCTTTTCAATTCAATCATGACTCCTTCACCTTTCTTTCTGATTTGATCTGAGATCTTTGAAAAAACCTGTGGACATTTTTACATTTCCTGTAAATTTTCTTCTTCAGAAAATGTATAAATAGAGTCACTTAGATTTTATTTCGTCGTCGACTAAATTTACAGGAACAAATTACTTTGTTTCAGATATAAAAAATGATCAACATAGCAGGAATAATTTCTATCATTTTATTTTACATCCTCATTTTGGGCGTTGGAATTTGGGCCGGAAGAAAGAAAGAAGAAGGAAATGATTCGGAGGAAGAGGTTATGCTGGCTGGACGTAATATCGGACTGTTTGTCGGCATTTTCACAATGACAGGTAAGTACTAACAAGAGAAAGTCAGCTGCAACTAACAGGAAAGTGAACAATTTACATAATATCAAAAATAAATAAATGAAAGTTTTATGGCTTCTTTTATGGCTACATTGTAATACCTGATTTTTATTGAATGGCAAATTGAAATGTAAGATACTCAGCAGTTCTTCATTATGATATACGGGGTAACAATTCTAAAACTGTCTATTCTCGAAATTTCCTTTCAGAAAATATCCAATTTGGAAAGACAAGTAGAATTTATTTTTTGGCAATCTCGTTCAACCACCGTTGGGAAGTAAGAAATCATGAGGCTGTGCATGCACTATGTGCTGATAATATAGAAATCCTCCTGTACAACTAAATTAACTTCTGCATCAGTTTTAGTTTTTCATTCATTCAGGAGCAGCAAACACCGTTGTAAGTTATCTTATTTCTGTAACATTGCATCTTGGAATATCAATACTATTATTATGGTTATTAAATAACAATGAATGATCTAACATTGAGGCAAACCAACTCTTGCTGTTAGTTTCGCATAATCATATTCCAATATTTTTTATTTTGGAATTTGGAGTTTATGAATCTGATGAAATTCATATTAATGATTTTCACATCTTCAACATGAAGTTTAATATCTACCGAAATTTGCATCAACCATCAAAATCTGTCTAAATAAGACCCTATATATGTCGAGTGCTTTTGATGAAAACTATCTGTACAAACAGAAGTCAGCGACTTTTTTTTTAAACGAATCAGTTGATACAATTCCCATGAATTATATAGGAATAACAAAGATTTGAAAAATGTGTTCTTAATGAATCCTGTGTAGTAAATTTACTTGGTCCACTCACATAAGGCTTAATAAGGAAATAAATGCTTGGCCTAGGAAAAGTACTGGGATTTGCCCTTTGTTTTTATTAATCACTACGATAGTTCTTTAAAATCAAAGAGGATAAACATTCATAGCCGGAAATAACTGTTTCGTAGCTATTTACCGGGTATGTTGGCCGTGGTAGGTTTTTATGACCGACGTTTCATCTACAACTACGGTATACATTATCAAATACAATGAAGCAACGAACGACGGTTTCTAGTGGCTCAATATGCTTACAGTTTATTGCAGGTAGCCAGACTTATTGTTTATTCTATCTTCTTTTCAGTTCAAATTGAGTTCAAATGAGAGATACCCGATCACGAAAAGAGAAGTAATAACCCGGCTTTCTGAACATAAGAGAAATTGTCGCCTGGGGCGAGGCAAAACATGCACTCAGATGAGGCCCCACGTTATCACGTTTAAAGGACATGATAATGTGGAAAGTCTCAGTGAAAACTATTTAGGGAGGTGATAGAAATTCTGAAACAGAGACATTTTCAATCGAAAGAAGGAGTAAATTAACATGTATGAATTCTGGCTACCTGCGGTGAACTATACTCGAATTGGATCATTCAATGCAACTGAATAATAATAAAACCACACCTATCACCAATATAATAAAACCAGAGATTCAACCATCGCAGATATGAGCTGTAAAGACACCCAGAGAACATTCTTAACCTCGTCGCTTCTGATGTCCTCCGCAGTAATAGACAAAACACTTAACACAGCCAACAAACATGGAAAATATCTTTAGCACAATTCCCCAAATGTTCTTTTGGTTTCTTGATAACACTGTCAATGTAAATACCTATTATCACTGAATTTCTTCCAGCAACTTGGGTAGGTGGCGGATACATCAATGGCACAGCTGAAGCAATCTACAATCGAGGTCTAGTATGGTGTCAAGCTCCGTTCGGCTATTCCCTCAGCTTGGTCTTTGGGGGAATCTTCTTCGCCAACAAGATGCGCAAGCAAGGCTACATCACCATGTTGGATCCCTTACAGGACTCCTTCGGCGAAAGAATGGGTGGCCTCCTCTTCCTGCCTGCTCTCTGCGGAGAAGTCTTCTGGGCAGCAGGCATCTTAGCAGCGTTAGGAGCTACCTTAAGCGTCATTATAGACATGGACCATAGAACGAGCGTGATTTTCAGCGCGTGTGTGGCTGTTTTCTACACTCTCTTTGGAGGCCTGTATGCTGTGGCATACACTGACGTGATTCAGCTGTTCTGCATCTTCATAGGCCTCTGGATGTGCATACCTTTTGCGTGGAACAGCGAATATGTAGTTCCCTTGGCTTCGATTGAGAAGGATTGGATCGGACATATCGATAATCATGAGATTTTTTACTATATTGATTACGGGTTGTTACTGGTATTCGGTGGGATACCTTGGCAGGTTTATTTCCAGAGAGTGTTGTCGAGTAAATCTGCGGGAAGAGCACAAGTATTGTCCTATGTAGCAGCCTTTGGGTGTGTGCTAATGGCAATCCCTCCGGTTCTGATTGGGGCTATAGCCAAGGCAACAGGTGAGTCCATATAAAATGACTATATTGAGTTATATTTGTACTGGGTCAATTAATGATACACTAGCGACCCGCCCCGGCTCTGCACGAGTGCAATACTGGTAATAAATATACATATAAACGCGTGCGTTCGCTGCTAATCATGAAGTTCTTGCTATAGGGCGAATCGCGGTACCGCCACAACCGCCATGTCCCTGTATTTTAAATTTGTAATATCTTCAAAAATATGTATTTCAATTACATGCAGCAAAGGGCCATAGGGATCTATATTGAATGCACAATGTATTTGAGGTACTTTATCGGATAAGAATTAATGCTGTATTGTTTAAAGTCTCTTCGTAAATAAGCCTCCATTTCACGAGGATGAAAAATGTTTCTTGTGGGTTATCCCCAATAGATAGACATATACCATTTCGGACTTTTTTGTGGACTTATTATGTAGTACATTTTTTGGACTATCTCGTGTGGTTCAGCCAACGTTTGCAATTTTAGCGCAAAAAATGTGTTTATTTACGACATCACATTAAACAACTTTAAAATTATCAGTACATATTTATCTACTATATTATGCATGTTATATACATATAAACCTTCCTTTCGAATCACTATTTCTACAGTGTCATTCCCAAAGTATACACCATACACCATTTCTATGCTACCTACCCTTGCTAAAATCATAAAAAACTTGTTAAACAAAGAATTATGATGTTTGTGAAAAAGCATAATATTAGTAGCAGTCAGTTTGGGTTTCAGAGTTTGAAAAACACGGAAGATGCTATGTTTCATTTACTGGAAAACGTGTATCTCAATTTAAATAATCGTGAAATAGCAGCGGCAGTTTTTTTCGATCTTTCAAAAGCTTTCGATTGGGTGGATCATGAAATTCTGCTACAAAAACTGGAAGTGTATGGCTTTAGAGATATATCTTTGAAATGGTTCAGATCATACCTGTCAGAACATACTCAGAAAGTCAAACTCCCGGACAACATATCCCATCTCCAGACAGTTACTTGTGGTGTTCCACAAGGATCGGTTCTAGTCCCAATTATCTTATTGTTATATATTAACGACCTAGCCCGCATTAATATAACCGCAGAAATAACCCAATTCGCTGATGACACTACATTATTTTGGCATGTCAAGAATGAAAGGGAACTGCATGATTTGATCAGCATGGATATTATAAAAATAAAAGACTGGTGTGATGCTAATATCTTATCATTTAATATCTCAAAAACTAGCATCATCACCCTCAAGTGCTCCACACTAGATATCTACCTGGGTACTCAATTAATAGAAAACAAAACGTCAGCAAAATTTCTGGGATTACAAATTGATAAAAATTTGGATTTTGAAAGTGTTAAAAAATTTTATCAGGATGCTTTGCAGTCAGAGTATCACCAAATGAATTGAGCACTAATATGGCAAAAACTGTGTACTTTGCTCTCATCGATTCCCATCTGAGATACGGTATCTGTTTTTGGGGAACGTGTTGCCAATATATGATTGATAGGGTGTTTGTACTACAAAAAAGAGGAATTAAAAATATGTGTAGAGTTGGATTCAGGGATTCCTGTCGACCTTCATTCAGAAAGCATAAAATCTTGACCTTGCCTTCCATACTTATATTGGAAATGTTATGTCTGGTGCAAAAAAAATACAGGACGGAAATTTTCATTTCACCACGACGAAATACCAGAAATAAGCTCAATATAGGTTAACCGATTTCAATATCATCAAAAATTGAGAGGTCTTTCATATATAATGGGAAAAAATGTTTAACCATTTTCCAATTGAGATCAAAGGCATACATAACATGTACCACTGAATTTAGAAAGTCTGTAAGAAAACTTCTGATTTCAAATCAGACAGAACGTTAAATTATATAAACAATTAATTTTAATTATTGTGTTTCAGTACCTACTGGTATTTGAACTATGTGACTTTTTTACCTTTTTGTTTAATGTTTACATTAAGCTCTGAACTGTATAGTTGAAAATGTTTACGGAGTTGATACTTACTGTTATTTTCTATGCATTCACTTTTATATTTTTATGCTTTATAGTTTTTATATTCTCATACTCACATGTATGTGTCGCATGAAAATATTCATTATTATTATTATTTATTTTAATATGTGGCATATATATTATTACTTTCTGACTACTTTTTTACCTCAAAATGCTGAAATCACCAAATGTTCAAATATTACTTTCAATTTGTATAACTTATATTCTTCAAAATAATAACACTTTTGACAATAATATTTTATCTTCGACAATATCTTTTAAGTTGTGTATCTTATATTTCTTAGAATAGTAACACTTTGTCAATGAGATTTCATCTTCGACAATAAAGTACATTTTGATTTGATTTGATTTGATATGCGAAACTTATTTATTAAGGGTTTTTCGACAAAAAGTTATTCTTGATAAAAGTTTGTGCACCCCCTAAAACTGAATAAGTACCAACAAAATACAGTAAAATACAAGTAATATACGAGGAGCCTTCAAATATTTGATTTAGAGACAGATGTAAAGTACTCTTATTTTGGAAAATCTCGGGAAATGTTATTCAAAAAAGTTGTTCAGCATTGAAAAATACATCTAGATTGGAAGTCATGGCCATCTGAGTGAAGTTTTATTTTTTACTGATTTTTTAAAATGGTGACTAAAGTATTGTAACAAGAACCTAATTTTCAATAATATCAAATCACAAAACATCAAAATAAAATAGGTATTTTTTCACGTTTTGTAGCATCTATGAAAATTTCAAGGATATAGAAAATACGCTGCTATCATATCAATCATATTACCCTGACCAAATTATTTTAATGATTCAGTTTTGAAAATTAGTTTGAGAATAACTAATAAAACGGTTTCATTGAAAAAAAAAATTATACTGATATCGATAATGTACTAAGAACTAAAAAACAATTCGGAAGGTCCTTTTGGCAGTCATCTCACCACTTTCCTCAGTAACCTACGGTATTTTACAGTCTTTGGACGAAGCATAACCTCAGTGAATATGTAGAGACTACGTCCAACGATTTGATTATTTTTCATCTGATCAATATCGTAGATTGCTGAGGAGAGTGGTGTGATGACTGCTACCTAGGACCTTCCAATTTTTATAAAGTTTTTGTGCATTATCTACATTATTCTATCTTTTTTTTAAACCGTTCAACAGTTCCCAATATTGTTACTCATTTCTTCTCATTCTGTTTTTTACATTTAGTGCCTCAGTATTGCAAGGTAATATGTAATCCGCTATTTTGTAGCTGCGGTCATTTTGAATTTGCATTTTTTCAAAGTATAGGTACTACTATTCTACTGTCATTGGATACCCATATTGGGGTAATTGTCAAAAAATGTGGAATCAGCCATTCTGTAGCTTCGACCATCTTGAATTCGCTTTTTTTGAAAGTGTACTACTATTTCACAACTCATCACAACTCAAGCACTGTCATTTGATACCCGTATGAGGTAGTTGTGAAAAAATATGTTATCCGCCATTTTATAGCTGCGGTCATCTTGAATTTGCATCTTTATCAAAGTATATCACTATCCTACTGGTCAAGCTTTATCATTTGATACCCATATTGAGATAGTTGTTTAAAAAATCGGTTTAAAATCTGTTTTTCTGTTAATCAGCTGTCGCCCCCATATGAACGACAACTGTCAGAAGTTGAGAAACTTGTGCGAACTAAGGACTAACGAGGTCTTACCTTTTTACGTGTGATTCCTAACACGGTTGCAGAATGATCCCAGTTTCAACCAGATAAATTCTCTCGAGAAAAATATCTGGTCGAGGCAGGAATCGAACTCATGGTCTTCCGATCGTGAGTCGGGCGCACTACCACCGCGGCCAATTCCACAACAATATATTTTCAATACCCGTATGAGGTAGTTGTGAAAAAATATGTTATCCGCCATTTTATAGCTGCGGTCATCTTGAATTTGCATCTTTATCAAAGTATATCACTATTCTACTGGTCAAGCTCTATCATTTGATACCCATATTGAGATAGTTGTTTAAAAAATCTGTTTAAAATTTGTTTTTCTGTTAATCAGCTATCGCCCCCATATGAACGACAACTCTCAGAAGTTGAGAAACTTGTGCGAACTAAGGACTAACAAGGTCTTACCTTTTTACGTGTGATTCCTAACACGGTTGCAGAATGATCCCAGTTTCAACCAGATAAATTCTCTCGCGAAAAATATCTGGTCGAGGCAGGAATCGAACTCATGGTCTTCCGATCGTGAGTCGGGCGCACTACCACCGCGGTCATTTCCACAACAATATATTTTCCGCCATTTTGTTACTGCGGCCATATTGGTTTTACAATGTTACAGTATCCATTAAATTGTATTGTCATCAAAACTACATATTTAACTGAGGACAATGAAAATGTATTGTTGATAAATTCACAGGTAATAAAGAGTTAATTTTGAAATTCTACACAAAAAGGACCAAATGTTGATACAATGCACCTTTATTCTAGTTACTCTTGGTCAAAATCACTCTCTGATGGTGCTAATCAGGTTTGCAAACGTGCATAATATCTTTTACTGAGTTCCATTCATTTTATTTATAGCATGGAACGAAACAGGCTACAAGGGTCCCTACCCCCTCACAGAAGAAGAAACCAGCATGATTCTACCAATGGTCCTACAGTTTCTCACTCCCAGTTTCGTCTCATTCTTCGGACTGGGAGCCGTGTCAGCGGCTGTCATGTCATCAGCAGACTCTAGCGTTTTGTCAGCCAGCTCCATGTTCGCTAGAAATGTCTACAAACTGATCTTCCGACAGAAAGCCTCTGAAATGGAGATCATCTGGGTGATGAGGGTGTCCATTCTCATTGTGGGTTTTCTTGCGACTGTCATGGCGCTGACTATTCCTTCGATATATGGTTTGTGGTGAGTTTTTCCAAAAGACTCTGAGTAATTCTTATCGAATTTGAAATCTACTAACGAAGATCAGACGTGAATCGACTCTGAATGTTTTTGTCAAACATTGCCAAAAATCAAATTCCAGTTGTTACCATTTATTGACGTAGTTTTTTTTTCTGCTGAATAGTAATTTTCATAAAAAGAAACAAGAAATGTTACAGACAGTGAAAATAATACAGATTAGTCAACAAGATTCCTTTGGTCCATTGCTATCAGGGAAAACAATTTTTCGAATTACCCAATTTTTCCCGCAGTCATATCGTTCAAAATTATTTCCTCGCATACTGGGGAGATTCAGCCTCGCGTGGCCAACCAAAGTTAATTTTTTTTTAATGGAACACCCAGTACATGAATACATTATTCGATCTCATATTTTGTAACTCTCTTAGGAATTTTTGTTTTCAAATTTTTATTGCGGTATTGCCAAGTTACTCCAGAAATGCCTATTTTGTAGACACTACTTTTTTAATTCACTACCCTCATGTCTACAGCGATTAAGCAGATTCTTTTTAGGAATAGTTAGTCAACATCACTACAATAATTTCGGGTATCAAAACTTTCCCTACATTTTTTATCTGAGGTATAGTATAAGAAAAACAGATATTTTACAAATTATACCCAGTTTTATTGATTGTTGTAACCACAAAAAATTTATTTATTTGCGTTCAGTTACTCAACATTTTTTCAATATGAACAATAACGCCTGAATTTTTTATTGAATAGAGGAGTTCAAAAATGTTCAAAATGGTGACCATTTTCAGCAACACATAATATCAGACTTTTTTTAAACGAATTATCTACACGTTCCAGCATATCCTCTGAGATTTTCCTGGAAGTTCTAGTGATTCTTCCTTCCATGTCTTCTATAGATGTTGGAGGAGTTGCTTGCTTTGCTTGATAACGTTTATTTATTATTAGGGTCAGTAATTTACAATGTTTTTAAATATTTGTTGGGACCCCTCTATAGGCTTATGACTCTTCAGGGCTTACAATTTTATCCTATCAGTGTGTGTTGGTATGGAGATGAATTATAAATTATGGTTTATGAATAATAAGTACAAATAGTAGATTTGGTTGTCCTGGTTCTTGGCTGTGTTCGGTATTCATGGGAGTATGGATTTGTGTTGAGTCTGAGGTGTTGTTGGTTCCATTTGAGTTCTCAGGGCTGTGATTTTCCGCTATTTGATGGCTAATGGATATTCCTAAAGGATATTCTGGATCTGCTCCGTAGGGTCTTTCAATAACCCCAGGGGTCTGGCTGGGGGGAACGGTAGCTTTTTCCGTGGTATCCTTTTGGCGCCTCCGTGGGGCCTCCATGGGGTGGTAAGGGTGTTGATGGTCGCGGTGTTTTGGTTTCTCATAGTTCTCGTAGCGTATCTGCCTTGGAGTTCCTGAAATCTCAAGTTGATCGAGGTGATATCTATTTGGTTGTATAAATTGTGTGAGGAATATCTGAAGGGGAAGCTATGGATGTTTCTTAGGATTTTTCTCTCGGTTCTTACTATTCGGTGGACTTGTCTTTAGGAGAGAGTACTGTAGATCGTGGCTTTGTGGTCCACGACCGGTCTTATGAAGGTTTTGTATGTGTGTGAGAGAGTCTTACTGCTGCATCTACCGAGCTTGCCTCTCAGAGCTTTTAGGAGGTCTGCTCTTTTCCGGACCCTGTCCAGACTTTCTCTGAGGTCGATCTCCCAGTTGAGGGTACTTGTGAAGGTAATCCCCAAGTAGGACACCGAATTTTGGAGGTGGAGGTTCTCTCCCAACAGTCTGAGGTTTAAATCGTTAGTGTTAAGTTTAGGACGGGTAGTGGTGTTTGGGTGTCTGAATAGGATTGTTTGGGGTTTGGCGGGATTTATTTTGATTGGCCATTTCGTGCAATGGGTTTTTGTTTGTAGGATGCGGGTACTGGTTGCTGATGTGTATAGGATTGTGTCGTCTGCATATTGCAGAATTTTTTGGGTGGTGGGAGTGTCGTGCACATAAATGAAGAATAAGGTGGGTGCAAGGACAGATCCTTGGGAGACTCCGGCTTTGGGAGTGAATAGTAGGGATAGGGATTCGCCCACTTTTACGCGGAGGTTGGTGAGATAGGAAGCGACTAGTCTGATGAAGTGGGGTGGTAGTTGGATTTGAATTAGTTTCTAGATCAGGCCCGCGTGCCAGACCTTGTCGAATGCTTTTTCTATGTCTAGGAGGATGGCACCAGTATCAAAGGAAGAATTAGAGGAGTTTGGTAGACAATCCATTTGATATACCTCCATGAAAAAAATCCATTTTGGTCAGGTCAGGTGATCTGACTGGCCACGCCACAGGCCTACCCCAACCTATCCATTTTTTATTGAAATGATCGTTGATGTATTCCCGTACCTCAGTTTCAAAATGTGGTGGTGCACCGTTTTGTTGAAGCCACATTCTAAGTTTTGTTCCATATGGAACCCCGTCCAATAAATTAGAAAACTCATGCCGCACAAATTTGACACATTTTCTTCCAGAAAATACGGACCGATAACTCTTTTTCCGAGAATTCCACCCCTAACATTCAGTGACCAATGCTGTTGATGATTCAGGCAACGAACAGAATGGGGGTTTTCCGTTGCATAATATTGCATGTTAAGTTGATTCACAGTTCCATTTTATGAAAAATCGCTTCATCAGAAAATAACACAAAATCGAAAAAATCATTTTCCTGCTTGATCTTTTCTAAGCCTCATCGGCAGAATTGAACACGTTTTTCAAAATCTCTCCTTCCTAACTCTTGCATCGTGCCCAGGTCTCGTGTACTCACTTGGAGATTTTCAACAAGGTGAAGAACAATTTGAAATGTATTCTCTTCATTTGTTAAAGGGCAGACACGTTCGAACTTCTCGTGATTGACATTACCAGTTCTTTCAAATCTTGTTTTTAGAGCCTGAAATGCCCTTCCATCTGGTTGTCTTCTTTCGATGAACTTCTCTTTGTAAATCCCAAATGCAAGGAGGCAGTTTTCGTCACTTTCCCCCAAAGCAGAGACCATTTGCACCATATCTTCCCATACATACATAATTCATAATGAAAATGATTCAATCTACACGCGAAAGAAACTTCAACAAATGGTGTTATTGACAAATTCTGAGATTCATTTTTTGATGTTAGTCATGGATAACTGGGTTGTTAAAGAAGAAAGCAGTATAAATATTCTTTATGTTTTTTACGCATTTCTTACCGCTGAAACCGCTGATAACTATCATTAGATGGTATGAAAAATGCTAATGTATTAGCGATTAGTTTAAATATTCGAAAAACAAATTTGAGTAAGTGAACGTATACCTCCGATAAAAAATGTAGTGAAATGTTGAAACATTTCATGCAAATGAAAAAATACAGGATGTTCCATTTGAAAAGTTGAATTATGTCTGTTTGAAAATGAATGAAACTTGACCGGTTTTACCGAGCACCCTATATATTGTTTCCGAAAGTAGAGATTCCAGAAACCATCTTAGTAATGTTGACTAACTATGCATAAAGAATCAACTTAATTGCTATAGACATGCGAGTGATAAATTAAAAAAATATTGTCAAATAGGATTTTGTGGAATAATTTGGCAATGCCGCAATGGAAATTCGAAAACAAAAATTCTATGAAGAGCTAAAAAAATATAGAATGGAATGGCGTATTCATTTACTGGATGTTCTATTTAAAAAATACAACTTTGGTTGGGCACGCTTGGCTGAATCACCTAGTAAGCAAGAAAATAATTTTGAAAGATAGTATTCATCGATATGACTGCAAAAAATATTGAGCATTTCAACAAATTGTTTTCATCTAATAGCTATAGACCGAGGGAATCTTGTTGACTCACCCTGTATAATGCCAAACCAATGCATTCGAAACTTACATTGACAATGGACAAAAAATTGAAATCATCACATGTTATTGAAATCAAAAGCACTGTATGAATAACTTGATCAATTTCTTCCTATATCTCATCATGGCGTCAAATACTACTCAATGTAGATGGAAAACAGTAGGTTTAGCTTAGGTGTTCTTTGGAAAAGGCAAGAACCTCTATTCAATAAGATCAAATCAGAGCCCAAAGACAAAGTATCAGTGATCCAGTACGAAACAGCGCTGCTTCGACGTGCCAAAGTCCCATCAGTGTTGCTGGGATGAATCAAAAATACATTGTTGGACTCAACTGTTCGTACAAGAAAGTCTGAATATGTGAAGGCGATCACATCTCCTCTCAAGAAGACGCTATCTATGGGATCGATAGAAGTCTGTATACCAGGATATCATAGATGAACTGGATTCCCTAAGGCTGCCCGTCGCATAATCAATCGACATCTACTGTACAATGAGATTCGCCCTTTGTCTTTCACTGCAATTTTCACTGCAAGGCGACTAGATCATATCAGAGCCCAAAAACGATGCATTTATAATCCAACCTCAGATAGTGTTTATAAAATAGAATAGAAATTTATTTATTTATACTGAACAACAAACAGAAAGATTTCGACTCACACAGTTTTTTTTAAAGTTCCTCACACACAGTATTAATTAGTACCATTGATACAGTTGCAATTGATATAAAGTTCAACAATATAAAACAATAAATAATATGATGACCGTAAAAAAATCCATACACATTTGAGCATTCGCAGTTCCTCACCATTTTGTTAACGGCTTCGAGACATTGTTGAAGAGGAGACAAATTTTTTGAGAAACGAAATAGATCGTCTCTTTTTCTCAGTCTCACGTTGAGTTACAATAAAATCAATAGTATAGAGAATTTCAGGTACTTTCAGTTTTCTAAGAATGTTAAAAACAAAAATCACTTTCGAGGACTCACGACTGTCTTTCAATGGTTGCATATTAAATTATTGTAATTGGCTGGAATACGATATAAATATAGGCCAGACATTGTGTTTTCTAAATAAGAGTGTTCTTAATAATCATTTCTGGACTTTTTCTATTGTATTAGAATATACAAAGGTTTTTGGATTCCAAATGACACAACCATATTCCAGCTTAGAACGAACAATGAAGTTAAAGAGAAACAAACAAGTATTGTTATTGAATTTACGGCTAGATCTTGAGACAAAACTCATTTTTCTATAATATTCAGATACTAAGTATTCAATGTGCCCAAAGGAACTGAACACACCCGTGAAAATGATGATCTTCCATCTCATTCATTTTGTCAATTGGTGTGATTAATGAAATAGTCCTTAATAGTGGATGACTTATTTCGTGTGGAACTCATTATTTTGCATTTAGCTTCGTTGAGAGAATACTGAAAAGTAATTAGATAGATTATTGAGATCATCTTGAAGCATATCAGATTCTTTTTCGCTTTCGAGTCTTCTAAAGAGCTTGAGATCATCGGCATATAGGAGAAATTGAGAATTCAAAAGTGAAAAGTACCGAGGAGAGATGCATACCTATAAGGAAATGAATATTTCGAAATAAATTTCGTCTGTGAGGATTGACATAGTTACCATTTATAACTTTCCATATAATAAACACGTCAGATAATCAAAAAGTGAAATATTTTCACTTGAACTTATTCTTCATCAAAAAGTCCATGCCAGTAAGTAAATTCTCAATTATATCGATCTTTGCAATTGCAATTGTCTCACTTCCTCAAAAGTATCACAATTATAGTAGTCCTATTGGATATTCTAGGTAGGGAATGCTACTGAAAATCAAGAAATCTCATCGATTTTCAGTTCATTTAAACGATTCTGGAGATGAGTTATTGGACGAATTTCAGTTGAGACTCAGTCTAATTTATGATTATCTATTACCACGATTAAAGTCCGACATTAACGGGTGTATTAGCCGTGTTCTGTAGGTTTTTATATCTGATCACTTCGACCGTTGCCAATCGATCGCCTTTGAAAATGCCTGCCGCAGTAGCAGACGAAACGTCAGATATTTTGCAGACCACGGCGAATAAGCCCGGAAACACCTGACAACTTGTTAGATACCTGCCTCATGATGCAGATGAAGTTATCTGCATCATCAGGAATTATGCCGGCACATTTTTCGTGCACCCAAACCTGGCATAAAACACAAGAAAGCATATCCAATTTTTCACTCGACTGACAAAGATAACAAAACAAGGGATCAATTTTTGTTGTGGATTTTTCCTTTTTCTTTCGACAAGAATTTTGGAATGTCTGAAATAAGTCTTTAGTGACTTGTTGCGATTTGTAATTGAGAGCCTTTCTCCTAACTTGCAATTTTTTTGGAGGCAACACGGGAGTTTTTACAACTCCTTTGAATATTTTTTTTCACAACTTGGTGGGGAGGAAGAACGTGTTTTTGGTTGCTTTTGAGTACCAGATGTTCCAGGTACTGGATTATCCTGCTGTCGAGGTAGAACTAATGTTTCAGAACGAGAATGTGTGATCGTCAGTTGCTTTTGAGTTCCTGATGGTTCAGAAACTGGTTCAGTATTTTCACCAAGAGGTAAATGGTCGTTATCAGAAAGTAAGTCTTCTTCCGCAGGTCTTCTTTAAAGCATCGATGGTGCAGAGGCTTCATCAGCTATAGTATTCGGATTAAATGAAACAATTCCTGTAGCTTTAAAACCACTTGTTATGTTCGCTACATTCATGGATTTTTCCCAAACTAGTGTAAAGACATCAGAGAATCTATCCTTATTCGAACAACGATCTGGATGCTGATCCCATTATGTTAGTAGCTGATCGTCCCAATAATGTTCAAACGATCAGAATTCAGCCTTGTCTAAGACAAGGAGACAAAGTAGATTCACGTTAATTTCTTCGGCCTTGTTTGCTATTGAAATATCTAAATGGCACTTTGCCCCATCAAATAGAAGGAGCACCTTTCCAGCTGGTTTTTACTTTCCAAGTGGTCCAACCACTTACTGAATATGTTAGAGGCCATGCTGCCTTTGGGATTAATTAAAACTTCTGTTCCGATTGGCATATTATCTGAATACGCAGGCTTTTTACGAGATCCTTCAAATAAAATCATTGGTGGAATACAGTTTCCCATAGGGTTAACACATGCTACAATGGTCACGTTTTCGCCATGTTATTGTGAAACTAGATGCACCCTCTTTGATCTGTTTGAGTCCATGTTGTAAATCCATTCAGGAGAATATTTCAAAACAAACTTTTGTAATGTCGTATCCAAAACTTCAAAATAATGTTTTACTATAGGACGGACGGTTTAATTTAGCAGATATGGCTGAAATCATTGATTGTGCTTTTCTTTGCCAATACGTGGGTGGCTACTAAGAAATGAGGAGTACCAGTTTTTCCGTTGAAACATATCAATTCGATTAGCTTTAATAAACTTGTGAACTCTTCTTCTCAGAGCTTTTGATGTAAGAGGAAGGCCGATTTGTCATAGACGAATAATCCTTTGTTCTAGTTCGAATTCTTGGTTTTCTGTTAAAATAGGTTTACGTCTTAGTGTCCTACTCACAACACCACTTTTTAAATGATTCCTCAAAGTACGACGAGAAATACCTGTCTGCTGTTCTACAGCTCTTTGAGAATGTCCTTGTCGTAAAAGCCTGAGTGCGTCATCCATCATCTCTCTATCCCAGTTAGCACGTAAACTTCGGCACTGATACTTGGCCATATAAAACAAAAAACTTCTGAAAATAAATCCCACATAAAAACTCTGAAAATAAGGCCCGGGCCTTATGCAATGCAAAACACATTCTAAGATTAAATTACATGAAATTGAAAGCTTACTGAGCCTACTTTTGTGTAGGAAAATATTATTTCTATTTGTGCAATAGGTTATGTGAAAATATTAACTTACCTTGAACATTTGCTTATAATGAATAATGTGAGATACAAATTCACACAGGGTTACACAGAAAAGCACAACGTACGTGTTTAGTTTTAGTAGTTGAACGTCTACTGATGCAGTAGACCATTTTTTCTTATCGGTTTAGAATAATCTCCATATGCCATTGCAAGAGACAAATTAAGGCAAACACGTCAGTCACATCTGAGAATTCAGGACCTACTATTTTGGAATTATAGTATAGTTTTACATTTTGAATTTTGTTCTAGGTCAATGTGCTCCGACCTAGTATACGTTATACTGTTTCCCCAACTCCTTATGGTTGTGCATTTCAAAGAATATTGCAACACGTATGGCAGTTTGGCAGCCTACATCATAGCTTTTCTTGTCAGAGTATCTGGTGGAGAAGAACTGATGCATCTACCACCTCTTATAAAATATCCAGGTTAGTTGTTTTAGAAGAGTGTCTGCCCTGTTCTACTTATTGGTATCTTCCCCTGGAAAATATAGTCTCTACCGATAATCTCAATATTTTCAAGAATGTTATGAGTGCTAGTGCATATCCGTCTACACTAAAAATTATAAAGTCCGCTTATCAATACACTGTTGTAATGCTCCTTCATATCACGGAATTTACAAAATACTGTGTATTGCGTCAGTAATTCTAGCATTACTGCCATCAAATTGAAGATATTCACATGCAGTTTTTAGCACAAGTTTTTGTCGAAAGTATGTGCTAAGATATGGATTTTTTCTTGTCAAACTTCGTACATGTGACAATTCTTTTCTCAACTAATCTTAAATACCCATATACTGTCAATCTAACAAAAATGTATGTCGAAGGTTATGATGAGGAAGGGAAGAGACAACTTTTTCCCTTCAGAACGATGGCCATGATGATGTCGCTAATAACTCTCGTGGGGGTATCCTGGTGGACGAAATGGGTTTTCGAAACTGGACGTCTGGCTCCTGGGTATGACTTCTTTCATTGCGTTGTTAATATTCCCGAAGATATTCAGAGGGTAGGTGAACCATCTGAGGAGGGAGAGCAAATGGCCGTGATGGCATCAGGTGAGAAAATATGTTGTCATATAAAAGTTGAACACACCCAGCTATTCATTTTCTCCATGAATTTTGTCTGTCAAATTCTTGTATATCATTGTAATGTGAACTAAGCTTATACATTTTGGAATACTTTATGCACAAACGGAGAATACTATTAGCAATGTGGTGAATACATTTGAGTCCACTGGTTCAGTTAACGACTGACCAATACCCTTACGTTGACGAAACGCAAGATCAGCCGAAAACATCGACGCTGTATATGAGAGTGTGCAGGAGAATAAGAGACAGTCGATTCCACATCGCTCACAGAAAATCGGCCTTCTGCAGACCACAACTGATGAATTTTGCATTGTGACTTGAGCTTGCACCCATACAAAATTCAACTGACCCAGAAACTGAAGGTAAACGACCATAGAAAATGACGTGTGTTCGCTGAATGGGCTGTGGAGCAGTTGGAAACTGATCTAATTTCCATCGAAAAATCATCTTCACTGATGAGGCTTATTTTTAGACGAATGGGTACGTGAACAAACTAAGTTGTCGAATTTGGAACGCTACCAATCCACATGAGATCCAAGAGTGCCCAATTTATACTGAAAAAGTCACTGTTTGGTATGTATTTTAGGCTGGCGGCATCATAGATCCATAATCCTTAAAAAACAACGTGGCCAAGGCAACAACGGCAAACGCCAACCCCAAAAATCGATGATCACCAACTTCTTCTGGCCTGAATTCGATGACCGAGCTACCAACGACATGAGATTTCAATAGGACGGCGCTACGTGCCACACGTGCTCCTTCCCTACTCCACCTCCAACAGCAAGGGCACTTTCTGCAACGGAGGCAAGGAACCGGCTGCCCCTGTAGAAAGGCGACCTTAAATGAGCACCTCCACGGAGGGAACCCCAAAAAGGTTGAAGAAACCGCACAATGACAGTAATGTCACTGCACTTTCCAAAACCTTCACGAAGGCCGCCGTGAGACACCTCAAGGTTGCCAAAGAGAGTGTGTGTTCGGCGAGTCTTGGCCTTCACTTACCGATATGAAGGAGATGTCTCCTAGTGACCTGTCAACCTTCCTGGAAAAGACAGAATGGACCTAGGAGGACAACTCCTCAGGAGGATGTACAATGGGTCACATGTGGTTTAAGTGCTTTGAGTCTACACTCAGCCTCCCTTTTTTACAGATACAGATACGTGCCACACAGCTCATGCCACATTGGATATTCTGCACGATCAGAAATGAGTTTGAGTAAGCTGGCCACCGAAATCGTGATATTTGACCCCGTTAGACTTTTTCTTATGGGGTCTTCTTAAGTCGCAGGTGTATGCGAAATAGCTACAAATCATAGAGGCCCTCAAAGACAAAATAACTTATGCCATCGATCAAATTCAGCGCCTGAATCATGGAAAATGGGACGTTTCAGAAGCGCCGTGGCGGACATTTGAACGATGTTATATTCCACACATTTTTTTTCAAGGACAAAACACAAGCACAATAGAATTTTTTTAAGGCACTTTCAGAGCGGTGCCTGTGCGAAAGTAGCGATTCACATTGGATTTGAATAACTGGAGATCAAATTCATTTGGGAAAACGTTCTCAGGAAGTTCATTCCACACAAACGCAGTTTTCCAGATGAAAGAGTTCTCAAACAGTGAAGTTCGAGGTGTAACTCGAACCTTAAAACGATGAGCAGCCACCTTAAAACCTTGAAACGATGAGCAGCCGCAGTTCCTCAAGAATTTTTGATATATACCGCTCTTTGTGGAATAAAATGTGCCAAGTCAATTGAACACTTCCTGTAAAATTATTGATAGAAAAGAGACAAATCCCAAGCCTTCTTTGATGTTCCAGACAATCAAGGTTGTAAGTGATGTTCACGTCTTCAATCAGGCGGATGGCTCTTTTGTGGATGGAATCTATCAACTTCAGGGGCAGAGCTACATACATGAAAACAATACTCCAAAGAAGGTCTGATCTGATGTTTGTACAGCATCAAAAGTTGCTGAGGTGTGTACAGTTTTCTGGTTCGGAACAGTGTTCCAAGTTTTTGGGAAGCAGCCTTTGCAATTCCAATGACTTGATTGTGCCAAGACATATTGGTGTCCATTTTAACCCCCAACAAACTTATCAAAGCAAAAAGCGGAATTGTTTGACCTGACATTATTATATCCTGTACGGAAACATTTATCTTCTTGGAGAAAACCGATGCCTGGGTTTTGGTGGCATTGCACATGCAACCTCCTGCTGCCGGTGAAGATGTGCCTCTCTAGCATATGTCCTGTTATACAAATGGAATGATGAGACAAGTGTGCTGTCATCAGCAAAGCATCAATAGGTCTTTCAAATGAATAGAATATCGATGATATTTCACACATACTTTGTTTTATTCAAATTTGAAGATAGCAAGTGCTTAATAAAAGCGCGCAATATTCTAAGTTTACTTTAGTTTTTCTCAGGTAATGAACTTCAAATATTTATCTTTCATCTAAAATATTTTTAGTGATCACCCTAGGCCCTAGAGCTTTAAAATAGCGGAAAAACCTGGTATTATCAATTTCAACACTGAGAATCAGTTGAGACAGGGCCGCGCCGACCCACCAGAGCGCCTGTGTGCGAAACCTATGAAACGCCTCTTTTTTTCACGAATCTTCATGTTTGAACTTATGTTTTTTTATTATTTGTTAATTTTGACCGTAATAAATGTTCTCCAGTTTTATATACTTAGATAATATTTTCATAAATAGGTAAAACCAGTTAAGTAGCTTCCGCTTACCAATTAGTGCGAAAAATAAAACATGAATTAAGTTTTTACATACTTTATTTATAATGTTAAATCTAATTGTATACTTAGATAGTAACAACAAAATATCTGACTTTTCTAATAATACTGATTTAACTATTACGTAGGCTATGTTTCAAAAAAAAAACAAAAAGAGTCTGTAATATCTGAAAATATAAACATACTTAAATTATATTATTTCCACTCTTCTCGTTTTTCTGTTTGCGAAATCCTTAATGATCCCGTGTATGTCTATATGGTCGAATATGGCCTCCTCTATGGATATTGTTGCTAAATTGATTAATCTTTCCTGGCTCATTGTTGAGCGTAGATAATTTTTCATGAGTTTTAATTTAGAAAACCGACCTTTACGCGCTTGCTACGGGAACTGGCATAGTTAGCAAAATTCGTAATGCAATGCTGATGTAAGGGCAAATAGCTGTCAAATTGTTTAAATATATAAATTTGAGAATTTTCACCACACCATTTAATTTTTTGACAAAAGACTGACACAACACAATTTCTTCACACAAATCATCGGCGTTAAAATCCAATGAATCATTTGCAGAAAATGTTTCCTGCAAACGATGTGTACAATCCAGTATTATTGAAAAATATACATTAATTTGACATAAATTTAAAATAAAATGTTGAATTTGAATACCGAGTATATAAACAAGTAAACAGGTCTTCAATCAAAGAAGTAAATTATTTCATTTTGGATCTTATCTCCAAGATATGTCGGCATAGTTTTGAAATCCAAATCATTCGCGACGTATATGTTAAGGTATTGAAACATCGAATTTTCTTAACAGTTCAATACCTTTTAGAAAATTACCATTTTTACGGACGTATAATTTTTGGCTTTGGCCGCGAAAAGCCATATTTTGTGTACCTATAAATTGGAGCACATATATTATTCTTTTGATTACATCGTACCAGCCCTGCTTTTCAACCTCTAATAGTTTTTATTGAATACTATCAATAGTGTTTTTATTTTTAAGAGCGTGACATAAATCTGTCCACTTTTTATGATTATTGAAATGAGCAGAACTTCTCTCATGTCTGCTGCAATACAAAGCTAGATGTTGCCAATCACTAATTTCCTCGCAGAATTTATTTTTATGTTTTGATTCAAATAGCTTGCAACAGAAGCAATTAACGGCATTTTTGGACGCTAAATACAGCAGCCACTCTCTGTGATACTTTATTAATACNTCGCGACGTATATGTTAAGGTATTGAAACATCGAATTTTCTAAACAGTTCAATATCTTTTAAAAAATTACCATTATTACGGACGTATAATTTTTGGCTTTGGCCGCGAAAAGCCATATTTTGTGTACCTAGAAATTGGACCACATATATTATTCTTTTGATTACATCGTACATTACACTGTTCTATGAAAAATGTTTCTAATAAGATCTTACACTCTACAGTCGTAGAGAACTGTGGAAACAAGAGCGTTTCAATTTTCTGTAACTAAATGCAATCAGCTCAAATACTTCTCATTGATTTTCGACAGTTTGTGATTCTGATAGTCCCAAAAACCTAAAAAAATTATCTCGTGCACTGCATATTTTGAGAAAAATTAATATAATGTTGAATTCTTATTGGTTCTCTATAGTTTAAACGTCTTTGGATAAATACATTACCTCCAAAAACTTCCTTAAAAGATTGGTAGAGCATTTGATAGAAACCTTTGTGCATGATATACATCTTTGTGGTGAGTTCCAAATAGAATGAATACATTTTCTCCTTTCATTGGGAGTTTTATACATATTTGTTTGATGATTTTTGATTTTTCAAGTGGTATTTCAAAATCCCTGATTTATAATATTGATTTTTTTCACCGCATTCATTCGGAAAGGTGTAATTATTTCGCTGAATTTGTGTTCTATGTTACATGATGAGGGTTGAAAATTCTGTTTGTTTCTTTAGGTGCGATGGGTAAACTATATGGAGCGGCAACTTTAGTAGGGAAAGATGAAAGAAACGGCAGAATTAACCCAGCACTGGAAACCGATGATGAAGACCTTCCAGCATCAGAACTTGAGAAGCTCAGAGCACCGATAGGCAGCGGTGGTGGATCCCGATCGGCCACCAACCCCCTAGACAACGGCCAAACCACCCTATGAGATGATGGGAATGTCTTCGATTTGAAATAGGGATCCACTGGTATAGTTCATTTATCTATTTTGAAAAGAACAGAAATATGAAATGAAAACTATCAAGAATGAGGGAAAGCATTTTTTAGTTAATTCCATTTTGAGAAACCCATCGGGTTTTCCATCTATATTTTATTTCCATGCATATTTGGAACCTTCTTCTCCTGAGGTAGGTGTTGTTATTTCGATAGATATAACTGCTGGTCAGTTGAATATATAATCTGTTTTCTAAGTTCAAATGTTTAAATTAATGTTGCATAATATAGATGTATTAGAAGACTCATCAGTATAGTTTTGAGCAGTTGTAGTTGAAATATGGTTAAGACATCTGAAGATTCGGAAAGGATAGATAAATACCAAAAAAAATTAAAAAGATTTCATGAGTGAAAGAAAAATTGAGGTTCACCTCAGAATTATAAGTTCATGAAGTTCCGGTCTGAAAAATAAAAATGTTAAAATTATTATATTTTAAACTCAACCAAATAACAGAATTACATCTGTTCATGGTTTTTCTGAAGAGTTAGAATTGATTTGTTTTGACTGTCTTATCAGGACAACTATTAGAACAACCAATACCTTATGATTTGTTCGCACAAAGACACAGACTGAAAAAATCGATTAAAAAAAAAACAAATGAATATCTTGCTCATCGAAGTTGGGTTAAATGGTTTGAAAAATATTGGTAACACCTGTTTCATGAACTGCGTAATTCAATGTTTATCAAATACGAGATGGTTATTGGAATATTTGAAAAAGGATAACACGTGTCACCAATTTCACCAAAGTCGCTTGTGAGTGGAGAAGCATACGTCCTCTTTTATGTAAAGGATGGAACAAAATCGCACCTTTAAGATAACTGAGGGAAAGTTTCTTTGTACAATTATTATTTATTTTTTGTTAATTTCTTATACTAATGATTATATTGTAGTCTAAACAAAATAGAACATTGAGAAGATATATCAAACTAGATTAGGATTAGTGACTTCAGAGTGAAGTAGAATCGAAGGAAAATTACCAGTAGATGGATATGAGGATATAAGCTTTGAATTATTTTCATTCTTTAATCAAAAATTCAAAAATTGGAATGGTCACAAACATTCTGGAGTGTTTCTTTTGCTGTCCAACCACAATCGGTAGAACAACCAACCAGAATTACTTATGAATCAAATGACATGAATAATATTAAGGAAAATTTTATTCAACAGTATTGATAATTTCTACAATTTTTTCCATTAGTTAATTTTCGAGATTCCTTTTATTGCTCATAGCAAAAAAACGAAATCGGGCTATTGCACTTGTGACTTTTCACTTTCATTCAATAAAGGGAGGTTGAAGGAAAATTATTTTTTTGGTATAAGAAAACATTATTTTTTGAAACCGCAACCATTACTTTAATATCAGTTCTGTCGTCCCTGGAACGAAAAAAGTATTATTTTGAATTTCTCACCATTCAGAATTATTAATGAATCATCAATTATCATTTTATTGAAATCGAAAAATCACTGAATTGCTTCCATGATTTTCTCAGAAAATAATGGATATATTGAAAAAATCATATGAATAATTTTAATCTGATCTGAAATTCATTTCAGTAAAAATATATTGTGTGATTTTATTGGAGTCAATGAAAAAGTGGTAATGTTTTTTGTATAAAATCATTAGATCAGGATGTTCTTAAGGAGAATATATAATATATCCTCAGCATATATTCTCATAGTATTCACATAGATGCTATCCAATTATACTTAGTGAATTTGGGATCCCCTTTTTTTGTTTCATTTCCTTGGGTTGTTTTATACCACACACACTTTTTTGGGGAAACTTCTATCTTCACTAGAGACTCCCCATTCATCTTGGTTTCCAGACAGTCATTGATTTTTATCAGTTTGTTTCCATTTGTGAGTGAGAATTTAATAATAAATATTACTTCGAGTGTGTGATGGAGTTGACCGATACTTGATGAAAAGCCAAATTTGAAGGTGTCCTTGTAGAAAACGAAAAATATTATCCTGCAAGATGTACAGTGAACTGAAGTAAGTTCGATGACTGATGTCTGATATCATTAGTTACTGAACTGTTAATGTTTCGAGTCACAAGAAATTTTATTTCGAGTCGGGAAAGTCATGCTTAGTTTGATGGGTCCACTAGTAACACTATATAATTGTTCAGTCATAATAGTTTTATGAAATCCATATAACCAATTGTATCATTGTTATATTTCAGAGAAAATTGTGCGTTATTTTTTTATCTCTCCTTTCAATGAAGATATCTTTACATCGAATTCTAGTAGTACTAACAAATTATTATTGTGTTTTCAGCAACTCAGCAACAAAATCAATTGAATAGTCCAGATGTCATTTGAATTGATATACGTGTCTTGGTTGAGATTTCTCGGAAAAATGTTGATTTCAATGAAGAAAGAATCTAAGAGAGATCATGAATTTTTCAGAAGGTGGGCAAAATAATTAATGAGTGAACTTTTGGACATTAAACGCTTAGAAAAATGTAATTTCGATTCTTCATATTCGATAAAAGTCCCAAAATAATACAAGTCACTCTATTATTATGGAACAACTGTTTTGCTTATTTCTCTTTTTGAGATTATAGAAACAACTTCCATGAGTTTTCAGTTTTTGCAATACAATGAATTGTAGAAATTTGAACTGATTACTTCGTGTAAATCAGTTCCAGTGTGGACCTGCTCTTTTTGTATTCTATATTTCAATAGAAAAAAAAAAGGAAAATATTTCAGAAAGTGACTCGAAAACGTCTAAACTTTATCAATAAGTCAGACATGCAATAAATATCTCTGAATTTCATTAAAGTTTTGAAATTTGCCGCTATCAAAAATGATAAGAAAGAGTACGAGACCAAGCTGTTTCATTACCCTTTCACCTTAATGAAAGAGGTTAGAAAATTAGCATTCATTCGATATAATCGGAAAAAGTAATCGCCAAACAAATAAACCATTTTTGCTGAACGAGTTGCTGAAACCAAACAGATTTTTGGAGTAATCTTTTTGTTAACATTGTTGAATCGTAAGCCTCAAAAAAAGAGAAATTGAAATTTCTCTGCTTTAAAATCGATAAAAGTCCATAAAAGTGCATGGAACTAGTATTTGAATTATTATAAAATATAACCCACTTTTGGGGCTTACGCTTTAGATCAACTTGTTCTATGAATGTAAATTAATGTAATTTTTCTTATGAAATTGACATTTTGCATTTCTATTATTCGAGTTGTCGAAAAGTTTCTGAAACTGTAAAATTTGTAGCTATTGCAACCGTTTTGGTGATTTTCTCTGAATCTTTTTCGAATAAAACACGTTTTTATATAGGTATTATTCGTTTAGGCAGTGAAGGTATGGTATATTTATTTCATAATGTAAATAATGTAGGTATTGAATAAACTATTTATCCAGCTACAGTTGCAAAAGAAAGTTATAGAGTGTCTGGGCTTGAATAAAATCCCTTTTATTCCAGTTTCTTCTCAACTTTCAATTTTCTTTCCCATTTCAAAAATTTAATAATATCATAATTTAAGATATCAAACTATTTTGATAATATGCTGATGGATAGTTTTCACAACTTCCAGAAACATGGTAACAAATAAATGTTAATGATGGAGTTATTATCTGTATGATATAAGAAATTGAGAAAGAAATCGTAGATTTATTTTTTGCACCCACCGAGTGCTAGGCAATTGCAAAAGCTACAAATCAACAATAATTTTTCTAGAATTGATCTTACGGAATTTCTCATCTAATCGTTATTGTTATTTCGATTTCAACAAAGAAATTATTCTCGATGTGTGAATGTGGTGAAACAATAAATAATTAGTGTAACGTTCACGTATATATTGCCGTGATTCATTGTGAAACAGATACATATCTTGCAGAGGGTAAAGACTTAGAAGAAATCTAAACATATCACAATACATATCATTTTAAATTTCGTTGAACGAAATGATGTTCTGAACACGTTTCGATGTAAACTATTTTCTGAAAACGACACTGTATGAATTTTGTGAACTAACATTTTTTCCCATAGAAATAACGATTTTAATGACGTGATATTGTTTTTCATAATAAACACGTTGAGGAATTTCAACGAATTTTATCCGATTTGAATCTTCTTAGCGATATAATGAGTGACAGCCAACATGAAAAACGTTGAGCTTGATATAAGAACTTGAATTTTTTAATATTTTTCATTGTTTCTTTCCTGAATATTTTTTAGAGTTTACCAAAAATAATATCCGTTGAATATTGCTAGCCAATGCTTTGTGCCAACGGAATTTACACCCATCGACAACGATAAGGGTTTTACCTTTCTCACTTAGCATCAGTTGGTACTGGATATTGTCCATTATCAAACGAAAAGTTAATAAAGAAAAGAATGCAAATAATTCCGAAACACTTCGGAAAAAAGAAAGCTATAGAACAATTCAAGCAATTCAAGAACCAACTTATAACAATAGGGTGTGATGCGTTCGTAACCGTGACAAGAAGTAAAATGGCAAATAACATTAAAATTTTCCCATGAATTTCGTAAAGAAGAATGGACTCAAATGTATCTACAGGAGTAGCAGCTCATTTTGCTTACTACACTCATTCATATTTTATTTTTTCATATTTTTCAATAGGTAGGTTGGGTTAGGTCCAAGGTGTGTAGGTCTATTCGACCTTCCACAGCAACCCGCAAGGGTTTATTGTGGCTCACACCTATTCACACTCGACTAAATAAACCGAGCTTCTTAACGGAGCCGTTTTCAAAAGGGAAAACCAAAGCCCAAAAACAGAATATTCATACTTCAATACCTGATATATGTCTTATCAGTGGAGATGAATGTGGGTGGCTATGGTCCAACAAGAGTCCAACAATACATTTGTGGTTTAACATAGTACCACTGGTGCGAAAAATGGTAGGTTGAAACAGCACTGTCTTGTATGGCATCACTAATGATTTATTTCTGGGTTTTCGTGTCATCCATTGAAAAATATGAAAAAATATGAGAATCGATGTTTAAAAAAAATGAAATGATGCTTTTTTCGTCCTTCAAATCACTTTTTTCATATCGAAAAAACTTCAATTGAACGACGATATATGAATATTATCATGAAAAAATTTCTACAGAAAAATATAGGACCAAATCTAAAATTTTGATCTCGACGGTGCCCCAAGTCAGACGGCGGTATAAAAGTTCTATAATCACATACTGATAGTACATTGAATGTTGTTATGGCGAAGTGCGAACATATTTCGGGTATTTTTGCAAATGAAGAAGTGGAAGCAGAAAATTTATTTCTGAAACTTTCGTCTTTTCCGTGTATCTCCAGAACTAAAAAAGGGTCGATTTTCCGAAAATACGGAACTCTGTCACAATCCAACCTACCCATATTCTTTTTATGTCGCATATTTGTATTTTTCGTGTTGCAAAGTATTTCAGCAGATTTCGTAACAGAAAACAGTTTACATTGAAACATTGCGTTAATTAGTTCTTCTGTAAATAGTTGTTATTTTTCAGTGGATAATGCAACTGAATCTGTTGAATTTGTGTGGATTATAGATTATGAGGTAACGTTTCACGATTATTGAAAATAGTTGTTGGGATTTTTATAAAGGGTATATTACGAAAATCATTATACGAATTGGTCGAAAGAGAATGTAGATGGTGAAAAAATATTGTCCTATATGTCCACAAAAATGATTCCTGAGAAATTAAAGGTTAATTGGTTCAATAGGATGGCCACCGTTGAATATGATTTCGATTGTCAAGTTGGCGGGAATTCGGTCGAAATGTTGAAGAAAAGCAATTGTAACATTGTCGACGTTTCGAAACGTTATTGTTTCATCTTCAGGGCTCTGAAGTATGACACATACATATCAAAATGGGATTCTAGAATGTAGTTTTGTTAAAAGCAAAATAAAATATGTAAAATAACAATTAAAAATAATAAAACGCTTCGAACACTTTACATCTATGTTGTTTTCTGTTATTAACAAAACTACATTCTAGAGTCCCATCTTATACTTTAGAGTCCTGAAGATGATCAATGAAGTTTCGAAACGTCGACAACTCAGCAATTGGTTTTCTTCAACATTTCGACCAAATTCCCGTCAACTTGATAATCGAAAGTCAATTGGTTCGTCTTGAATATTTAGAAATCAGACTTTCATTGGTTCAATGATAATGTATATCCACTGAATTTGTTACCTCTCCAATACTCATTTGTAAATATTTATAAAGCACACGTAAACATGATTTTCCAAGTGTACAAATCTTTGATTTTTACGCACATTTCATTAAGTACACTTACGCCATTCCTGAAGATGAAATATTTTCCATCAAACGAATAGTCAATTCACGAGATGAAATTGATTTGAGTCTACACTATTTCATTGACAAATATTATGTCGTCACATCATATTTTGGATTAACAATTGATGTAAATAGTCGAAGATCATTTTTAAACTAAAAATGTCCTGCAATATATTGCAAAAGATATGTGGAAATCACTTCGAGTATTTCATATTATGTGGAATATAGGTGAATATTTCAATGAACCCCACTTTGCTACTCTAGAATATTACTTTTGAAAATCACTTCCGCATGAGGAAGAAAATATTGAAATATTATGGGGTGTTTAAAACTCAGTGGTTTCCTCAATATATCTCCACAGAGAAAAATCATATATTTGGTAAGCTGTATACAAAAAGTAATATAGACTGTTACCCCCTAGTTGACATTGCTAAAATACTATTATCGATGTATAAACTGTTAGAATGAAAATGTATATCTAGAATCTTGTTGTAAGAAATAAATGAAGTGAATAGATTTGTTTTCATTTTTCCTCATCAGTATAAATCGACTGAACTTTGAATGAACCCCAAATTGAACAGAACAGCTGATTTTGGACATCTTCTGTTGTAATTGTATGAATATTCGTAATTCGGTACCAAACGACATTCACTAATAGTATGAACAAAATCGTGTTATAAATGTGATGAAATGAAATGCCAAAAGTTTTGAAAAGATTTGTACCAATTAACAAAATCTTCAATGCTTCTTTGAATCAAAAGATTTATGATTCAACAATTCACCATCATTATGGTAGGTAATCTCTATGTAACTGGTATTGAAAGTAGCATGTTAAGTGACAACAAAGCCACAAGTCAAACGTTGTCAAGAATGAACAGTACAATAACTGTTAAAATTTCATTGGATGCAAAATAAATCTACAGAAGTATCTAGGCTTGGCTTTACAGACACGTCACACCCTTTTTTTTTGCAATCCTTGGTTGACTGCAGCCATATCATCAGCTTCATTTGCGATTGAGTTTCTTATAAAAAAAAATTGCACCACTTGTATCTTTTTCGATCTGACACCCAAACTGATTGTTGTTTAAAATACCGTGCTGTACTATGATGTAAAATTGAGAGTTTCGAATACATGTTGGAGAAAACGCAAATCAAATTAAAACGAAAGTTTAAGTATAAAACTAAAAATTTTATTTCAAGTATCAAAAATTACATTAAATGGTAATACTGCGGATAGCTCTAATAAATAAATAAATCTACTTATTTACAAAATGTATAAGGTCGTTTCTTCTGAACTTTTTAGTACGAATAACCTCCGTTGCTGGCGTAACCTTGACCACCTCCATTTCCACCTGAACTGTAGCCACCTCCTCCACCTCCACCGCCATTTCCGAAACCGTTGCCTCCAGAACTATAACCTCCTCCAGAACTATAACCACCTCCTCCAGAACTATAACCACCTCCTCCAGAACTATAACCACCTACTCCAGAACTATAACCACCTCCTCCAGAGCTATAACCACCTCCTCCAGAACTATAACCACTTCCTCCAGAACTATAACCATTTCCTCCAGAACTATAACCACCTCCTCCACCGGACGTTGGGGCACCATAAGAAGAACTTGGAGGTCCTACTGGAGGAGCACCATACGATGAACTTGGGGGTCTAGAGGGAGGAGCGCCGTATGACGAACTTGGAGGGCTAGCAGGAGGCGCACCGTAAGATGAACTCGGACGACCAGCAGGAGGAGCGCCGTATGACGAACTTGGAGGACCTGAGGGGGGAGCGCCATATGACGAACTTGGAGGACCAGCCGGAGGAGCACCGTAGGATGAGCTTGGTGGACCAGAGGGTGGAGCTCCGTATGACGAGCTTGGAGGACCAGCAGGAGGAGCACCGTATGATGAAGATGGACCAGATGAGAAGCCTCCATTACCTTTACCGTTGCCATGTGAGGAAAGGGTGGGCCCTATTGGGGTTCCGTAGCTTGTTGAAGGTGGTAAGTAGCTTCCCGATGGTCTTCCTCCGCCATTTTTGCCTGAAAGGAGAGAATTGGAATTTATAACTTGATTAGGGTGAGAAAATGTTCACTGGATTCATAGAATATTATTGAGTTGAAGTAACAAATAATCTGACTGTTCATCAATATTGAATGTTCTCTCATTCAATGTGGTGTTGAGAGATGAAACAAAAGTGTGACGAAAGATAAAAGTATTTCCTGAATTTAGAGAGGTTGCAAATGTGAAAAAAAACTACCTATCTTGAATAGTTTCATAATTTTCAATCAAAAAATCTCAAGATTGAGATATCACTGTTGGTTTTCAAATATAAATAATGGTGCTGGTGGTACCAATGGAATAGAACATCGAATTGAAGCAGACATTTTTTATTTTCATTTTGATCATAAAATGTCAGTGTATTCCATAAAACAAAAATGTGTCAAATTTTATCTCAGTGTTACTCTGAAACAACACGAAGTGTTTTACTACATAATGGATTGAGACATTCGATACATATTCTATCAGAATGAAAAAATAAATGAGTATTGGATCTGTTATGAGAGAAATGATGTTCCTGAACTTGTTTCACTATCATAAAAGCATCTTCCATATTTTCCATTCCAGTATAAAAGATATTTCCAAGAAAGAACAAATGAAAAGAAAATCTTGTCAAATGAATAAATATATGTATCTCACAACTACGAATATTTCATTTAAATAATTGAAAGACCAATGGTAAGCAATTTTTAATGAATTATAATATGTTTATGGTCTTTATGTCATCATTCCGCACACGTAATTGAAAGGTTATGAGAAATAAAAAATACAAGTACAACTCTTATAACATCAATAGATTTTTCAATAAAAAAAGTCCATTACCTCTGCCGTTTCCATGTCCTCTGCCATTACCTCGTCCATTACCATTTGGAGCACCGTAGGAGGGCGATGGGGGAGCCCCATAGCTAGGGGAAGGAATCGATGGAGGGGCACCATATGATGGGGATGGTATGGATGGAGGAGCACCGTATGATGGAGACGGGGGAGCTCCGTAAGATGAAGAAGGTGCTGCTGAAGGAGCCCCGTAGCTGCTTGAGATGCCTCCACCACCTCCATTCTTTCCACCGCCGAATCCACCTCCAAATCCACCCCCAAATCCTCCGCCAAATCCGCCGCCACCACCTCCACCTGGATATTGAAATACTGAATGTTTACAATGGATCTGGTATATAAAAATCAGAAGTTGCGTTTGAAAAAAACATATATTTTCAAATACAGAAGTACGTTGGGTGAAAACCCATTGAGTACGAAACATCTTCGTCTCTCGGTATCCGTGAGAAATCTTGATGTTTCCTATGGTATCACGATATTGATTATTTGGTTTGAAATGTGATTTTTACAACACTTCTAGATTCACACATAATTACCTTGATGCTGAAGTTTCAAGTGCAACAAATATCAAGTATACTTGAACACTCAATTTACACGCGAGTATTGAAAAACTGCCGCGAAGGCCTTCTGTTTTGGAAAAAGTGCTGTGATTACTGATAAATATTTGTTTGGGTCTCATGATGCTGATCAGCCCAATTATTTGTCAGATATTTTCATTTGATGATCTTTTTTAATAACACCATCATGGCTGTTTATATTAGTCACTTGTTCCCTCTATGAACATCCATAATAGTTACTGCAAAATGGTGAATCATGGTATCACACAAAAATCTACAAGGAACAATTTTTTATGAGCGAGTTCTCACTTTAAAAAGCAGAAACAATGATTTCATATCCACATGGATTATATAAGCAAAGCAAATTGTTTTCAGTTATAGATGCGATATTTTTCAAATAAAAAGTTCTGCTTGATATTCTTTACAAAATGAATCATCACATGTGAACTGAACTGTTGAATTTAAGAGTGTATGAGTACACTGTGTGTTTTATTTTGAAATCCAAAAGATATAAATGGAAGTTATTGGAATGAAGGTCCAATTCCTTCATTTCATTCAATTTATATTTCTGAAAAATTGAGAATAATTCGAAACTTATTTGTTAAAATTACATTTGATTATCAGAACCAACTATGTCTTAGTAAAAGGCCAAAAATTTTCTTTTCCAAAAATTGATCTCTCCTAAAAATATACCCTTCCAATTTAAATAATGAAGATATTTTTGAAAACTATTTTCAGTCTATTTTTCTTTCGAAATTTCACCAGACTTATTTATCGGCGATTTTAATCGTAGAATATTAGACTTTATAGTCTTCAGATTGGTAATGGAGATCATAATTATGAACTTGGAAAGTGATGCATTGTACTAAATGTTTTCAAAATATGTTTCTTGTTCTGTAACTATATCACTCTGTTTATACCTAGTTTGGATAACTTTGTGATTTTAATATAGTTGAAAAAACTTGAATAGAACATAATTTTTGAGATTGAATGTAGTTTAACCGCTTCATACTGCGCCAGGGGCTGCAGGTTCAAATACATTATGTACTCACCGAAACCACTTCCTCCAGAAGGTGCTCCATAGGTAGGTGACGGAGGCGCTCCATAACTAGGAGAAGGGGGTGCCCCATAGCTAGGAGAAGGAATTGAAGGAGGGGCCCCGTAACTTGAAGATGGTGGTCCTGCAGGGGGTGCTCCGTAAGAGCTGGATGGTCCACCTCCGAATCCACCACCACCTCCGAACCCACCACCACCTCCGAATCCACCTCCACCTCCTCCTCCAAATCCACCGCCTCCTCCACTTTTGTATCCTCCAAATCCTCCGTTACCACCACTAGGTGGGAGGTAACTGTTGGATATCGGGGCTGAAAATTGAAAAATTCATTAGTGTCGAAAACGGACTCGTTTTTTTTGTCTGAAACTTTACATTGGTCAAACAGAGAGAGATTTTACTAGAAGAATCAGAAAACATTGAAGTCGTTTTTCAATGTGACAATCAATTTCAATAATCATCAAGCGAAAGGGTTCATGATCAATCACAGCAAAAAATGAGTTTCATTTGGAAAATAAATATTTGAAAGCAGGAATTTTGAAATGTTTACACGATTTACACAGGGCGAAATAGAATCGGGTGATTCTCCTATGTTGAATTTGTTTCCATTGTTGTTTTCGAACTCTCCTTTTCTTCCTACAAGAAATGAATGTACCACATTATACAAAATGAAGTATACGTCCCTGTTGGACTGTGAAAAGCATTGGACAGTGTGTATTCATTCCACACCTAAATGAGTGACTTGAATAATTATGTATGTATGTCTCTCTTTGACTGATTTCTTGTTCTAGTCCCGTTAATTTTTGTAATTGATTATTTTACATTCTCAATTTTATATAGTTTTTTCGCTTACTAAACAAAACGTGAACTCCTAGTTACGGTTGTTACACTTTTGCAAACTGTAATCTCATTCGAAAGAGATTTTGGTTCTCTATTCAAATTTTCAACCCGATATTTATTGTCCTCAAGATATCACTACTTTTATTTTGAAAATATTTTCGGTCTGCCGATTTGTTCATACCTTTGGTGTTACTTTTCGAGTACTTCACTTCATTTTTACTTTACAAGTCTCCAAGGTAAGAATGGTCAGCATGTAAAAATTTGAATGGCCTTTTGAAAGTAGAAAAATATCCACTATGAGTGCTACATCAATGAGTTAATTTATATCAGGTCATTTTTTGTGCCCATATAAAAATTTGGATTGGCTTTTCGGAGACGATGCGTCGGAGTAAATATCTTTGATAGCCATATTGTTTAGCCTGAAAATTGGCAAAAAAGGAAGTGTTTTTGGGTTTCCAATATAATTTCTGAAAGTAAAACATTGAGTCGAAATTAGCTGTTTTCGGTTCTTTCAAAATACCTTCGAAACTAATCGGAATCATTTCAATAAACTTTGAAATGGTCTAATTATTTGAAAAAAAAATTGTAATTGTTTACGTTCAAATCCAGTCAAATCTTTCAACAGATTAATATAATTACTCATTTACGGCAATGAATTGATAATACATAATGCTGGATATATTATGTATTGAAAATTAAAGAGGATAGGTTGTGTCTGATCGATCTGAAGAAACGTCGATTAGAATCTTTCGTAACTTTTGTAGTCTGAAATCGCGTTAAATACAGTTTAGCGTTAATGAGTTATTTAGTCATTACAGAAAGTAAATTTGATGTGATTATTTTGTCACTTTCACGATAATTTCAATATCCCACTCTAAGAGTAATTCAACAACATCAACGAAATATAATCTGCGATTGATGGACAAACCAACATTACATCAGAAGTTCAAGAGATGAAAATGACTTTTGTTTTTTCCAAAGTTCACTTTACCAAATTGTTCAACAAAAATTGAAGAATTAATCGTTTCAAAATCAAAAAGAAACGAGGTAGGAGCAGTTACACGTCACGCATGCAGGTCATGGAACCAAGGAAACAGTCCAGTAATGCATTCGTGGTTTAGCCTAGCATCACTGATGAGGTCTATGGTGAGTCGAAACAGCACTGTCTAGTGTTGGATTACGAATGTCTTACCTTTGAGCTTTCGTTCCATTTAACCGATAAATATACTGAGCACCTCAGAAAATAGCTGTATCACTTATTTTTCAGAGTGTACAATAGATATTGATGGATTATATTAAAGAGATGGGATTTTGGAAAATACTACTGAAAAATTTCTCTGATGCTTGCCAATAAGCAGATGAAAATCTGCTCGACTTTGAGAATCTAAACAGATTTCTATAACTTTGTATGTATCCATGAAACTTTTGAAATACGACCGAATTAACACCAAGAGCTGAAATATGAAGAAGAAACAATTTGTAGTTACAATAATGCAATAACATATATTGGTAAATAAATTCTATTTCGACTAGACTTTTGAGTTTCGTTCAGAGAATTGAACGACTTCAACAAGAATGAACCAATAATCGACTGCCCTTACATTTGATTATTTGAAAGGATACTTGTATATTAAAAAGAGGTACATGTGGCATTATCTGATGCTCAGATTTTCTTGAAATCTCTTCGAATTTTTTGCCTTCATGGACATTGGACGAAACATTATTGCAAAGAACAGCCTCAGATTTTGTGAAGTGAAAATATGGTGTAGTTATAGTGCTTGACCCAGTTGAAACTGATTTGGCCCTTGGAAAATCAATGATATTATTTTGAAAAGACGATTTTACTATTACATTTCAATTACTCAAAAACAAGTTGCGGAATAATTTTGAGTTGTTTGTGTCACATGAGAAAATGATGAACATTTGCATTACATTAATTACTTACTCATAATAACTAATATACAAACTCAATAAAGTGAATGGAAAATTGATGCTACTTGGAATATTTTTTTGCAAATATGTTGAAATAAACAGTCATTTGGTTAGGCAGTATTTTGCAGCAAGGGGCATAGACGATTTTTCTTGTCAATACGTTTTGAGAGAAGAATTTCGAATTCGATGAATGGGATGACGATCAAATTCGTTCAATAGGAAAAGTATTTGTATTCAATAGGTCTTCTGAGTTGACCTCATTATTTTTGTTGCGATATTTGAAAATCACACTGTACATAATTGGATCTCAGTAGTTACGGTTCTCAGTTAATTCAAAATGATGGATGTTAATGGTGGTTGCCTTAAAATTAATTACTTGTGATATATTTTATGTGCAAAACTTTCACCTTCTTCAGCTGACAATTTTTATATTCTTTATTGACTGAGGTTTTTGATCGAAAAATTATCTAGTGACTACCTACAGTGAAAATTGATTTCAGTCTGGAGCCGATAAGATGCATGATGATAAGTAGTACCTATTCGTCTCTTGCTTTCAACTGAGAAAAAATCAAGTCAACAAGAGTCAATTGTTCCAATTCCTATATTGCCAACAATATTCATCAGTGCATATCTGTATCGGCTTTTTCCTATAATTATACTTGTCTCATTTCATCTCAGTGGTTCCTAATTACCGCTATCTAATCAGTTCTAATTAGAATAGCTACTCATCAACCTCATTCTATCTGATGTACGAAATTCTCGTCATGATTATATACGAACCATTGTACATATGTAACCGGTAGAGGATAATTTTCACTTTCATAGTGATTATCAAGAGAAAGAAGAAGAAACTGCTGACGACTTACCTTCACGCTTAGCGAGTTGTCCCGCGTTGGTTCCGTAAACACAGCATAGTGCAAGTGTGCAACTCTGAAAAAAAACAGTATTATTGTCTCACATTCATTGACGGTCCTAACTGGATCAGGTGTTTCGAATCTTTACTAATTCTAATCATACATATATATGATTGATTGGGAATGCTGAACCATCTCTACTAATTATCACGTTAGTTACAATTGAAAATGTATCAATGATGGAAGTTGATAATCCATTCATACAGAGATGTATAAGAACTGTAAACCAATCCTTGAGTGACAATGCCTGTGCAACAATAGTGATTATTATCATTATTATATTTGCAAAAAGAGTCTCGAAAATTTTCTATGATGATCAAGAATTCTCAAAAATGTAGATCGATATTCATTTGAGGGATATTCCTTACAATGTCGAATCTATTTATTGAAAAAGGAAATAAAGAGGGATACTTTCAAAAGAAGGAAGGAAATTTCATCCGGAACAAATTTTGTGCTTTTTACGAACATTGAAATTCTTTTTCTTGTTCATTTCCCATATTGAACATTAGTGATAGATCAAAGAGTATACACTTTCGCGGCTGGGGATGACTTTGTCTAAGCTATTTTTATTTTTTTAGCAGTGATCTGCAGGTTTTATGCCTGACGTTTCGTCTACTACTGCGGCAAACATTATCAGAGGCAGTGAGGTAACGGTCGAAATGCTCGAGTTGTTCTCAACTGATACTCAGCTTTGAGCACTTGGACCGTTACCTAATCACCTTTAATAATGTCTACCGCAGACGTAGACGAAATGTTAAGCATAGACACCTGCAGACCACGGTCAGAAAACCCTAAAAGTAGCTTTGGTACATATCTAGGTAGTATAATTCCAAAATAGTAGGCAATAAATTCTCAGAAATGACTGACATTCTTGCCTTAATTTGTCTCTTGCAGTGACATTCTGAAATTATACTGAACAGATGAGGTCAACCTCAACAATGTTTTTGTATCAATGCAATGATATTTCTGATAATTTAGTGCCTACTATTATGGAATCGTACTTAACAAAGAGTGTGTCTAAGCTGTGTCTAAGCTATTTTTGTTTTTTTTTGCAGTAATCTGCAGGTTTTATGCCTGACGTTTCGTCTACTACTGCGGCAAACATTATCAGAGGCGATGCGGTAACGGTCGAAATGCTCGAATTGTTCTCAACTGGTACTCAGCTTTGAGCACTTCGACCGTTACCTAATCACCTTTGATAATGTCTACAGCAAACGTAGACGAAATGTTAACCATAGAAACCTGCAGACCACGGTCAGAAAACCCTAAAAGTAGCTTTGGTACATATGTAGGTACTATAATTCCAAAATAGTAGGCAATAAATTCTCAGAAATGACTGACATTCTTGCCTTAATTTGTCTCCTGCAGTGACATACTGAAATTATACTGAACAGATGAGGTCAACCTCAACAATGTTTTTGTATCAATGCAATGATATATCTGATAATTTAGTGCCTACTATTATGGAATCGTACTTAAATAAATAGAAATAGATAGGATCCGTATAGCTTGGATTGAATTGAATAGTTGTAAAGCAATGAAAATGTTAGTTTATTTATTGTTAATATATATTCAAAATTAAAGACAAAATTTTGTACAAGAAGTAATCGATGAAAGTCGAAGTTCAATTTGCGCTGATCTACAACTTGAGCTTCACTGAAAAGATTTGTGAAATAATTTAAATTTTGTTTCAGAAATTATATGTAGTAATATTTGTAGCCATCGTAAATATCATTCTGATATTTGGTGGAACTAAAAGTCTCTCGTTATTGAAATGAATTAATTTCTGTTTCGCATAGCTGAATAATTCAGTGCTTTGAATGCATAATCTGTTTTTTTTGGGATTCATAATCATTCCCCTTCACAAAGAGGTAACACTTACAGATTTTTTCAAATCTCAACTAAACAGACTACTTAGATTTGGTGGACATATGGTCAAATCAACGCGCTTAGCATCACCCCGTATCAAGGGTAATACCACAAATAACGTGGCAGAATGAGAGTCTGGATATAATTAGTCTTTCACAAAATTGAAATCCAGGAGCAGTGATCATTACACCTCTAGTCTAAAATATTTGACGCAAAATATTATAGCAGACCTCCATAAAGAGAGGCCACATGTCTCCAGACTCTAAAACCAGTGTCCAGCCATAATCTCAGGTTTTTGAATATATAAATCGTATCATCCCAAACCTTAGATTCATCAACCAATCAATGTTCATCCATTTGATGTTGGGTCTTCAGCATAGTGCAGTATAGTAAAATTTTCGAAAAATCGATGGAAATCAGAAATACATAAAAATACTGAAAGAGGTCCAAGAGTTTAACCTCGCGGCACTCCAAAATTCACAAGTTATGCCCTTGAATACTGACCATGTATAAATTACTTTTAAGAACTGTCTGTTTCAGTTTTATATGGTTCTGAAGTTTCTGTAACGATTGAGTGAAACGTCTTTGAAAGACATCAAAAAAGGTGTTGATAAGACATTTTTGGACGAAAAACGAAATTTCTACCAGTTCAGATTGTACAGCCTGTCAAATGCAGAAAGAGCTTTCTGAATTTCGTTATGTTATCGTCCACTGGATGTGCTTTCGTTAGAAGACGCTGAGAGCGAGCGAGAGAGAGGGGAAGAAATACAATTATCAAGACTCTTCCTAGAATTGACAAGCTTTACTCATACATTATAAACATTTTCTTTGTGTAAGGACGTCATAACTTTATTGATGATATCTACAAGATTCAAGATAAGATTATTCGAATATAACAAGAATTGTTTGAATGAAATTATATTGAAAAATGGGTTATCAAATAGCTCAGATTGTTGTGGAAGAAAAAAATCTGTTTAACATCTGTTTTTTGTTAACCAGCTGTCGCACCCCTACAAACAACAACCTTCAGAAGTCGAAACTTGTGCGAGCTAAGGACTAACGAGGTCTCACCTTTTAACGTGTGATTCCTATCACGGGTTGGACGATAGCAAGTGAAAATCGATCGTTCAGACTGGGGCTTGAACCACCGACCAACACGGCGGTCGATTTGAGTGAGTGAACAAAGCACTCACGTCAAACCGACCGGCTACCGACCGACCAAATGGAGACAAATAACTCTCTATTAATTATATCTAAATATTTTCATGAACTGTCGTACCTTCAAATTATTGAACCCTTTTCAGAAAGCACTTCTAGCTAAAATCGAACTTAATGAAAAATTCCATAAGCAGAACCATTCAGTGCTTATTTATTATTCACTACAAATCAATTACTCAATTTGCACCTATTGAATTCGTATCATCCACTTGTCACGTCATATAAAAGTACAAGTGAAGTTACTTCAAATGAATATAATTAAACAATGTTGACTTGATTATATTATAAGCAATGTTAGCTCATTATTTCCTAACAGTAGTTTGTCACGTAGAATAAATAGTCATGTCATGTCCATTTAGCCATAATGAAACCCGGATCGGTGAATTAGAATTTTAAATATTGAGTAATGGTAAGAAGATTAGATCATGAAACGAATCAGAGTCCGGACTTTTATTATACTACCACTTGGCCTTCAGAAGAGGAATTCAGGAAGCATATGTTTTATGCTTTGGTTATTTTTGTCTGCTTACGCTTACAGTCAAGTTCAAATACTGAAACATTGCATTCCTAATCAAATTTGAACGAAAGTCCTTGAAGGATAGAAAATTAATAAAACAACCTTTACAATTAGTAATAAAATCCATTTCGATTAGAAAGGCATTATCGTAATAATATTTTTCCATAACATTTTTCTATACAGGTATATTATCTGATTTCTCATGTTTTCGGGTCACTTCCTAAATTCAAGTGTGAGGAAAGTATTATCATTATTGAAATATCATTTGAGACTTGAATTTCTTCAGAAGTCTGAACTTTCAAACTTCATTTCAAATCAATTCAATTTTCTGGAAGAGCATTTTTTGGTAATTTATTCTACATTTTCTATGAAATCATCAGTACCATTGAATGAGAAGTTTTGGACTGTGTTATAACTGGAAGACACATGATGAACGAATTATGAAAGATCAAGAAGTAAATATAAATGTTTCATCTCTGCAATTCAATAGTGATTTTTATCATTTGTTAGTTAACCGTTTTCCAAAAGACTCTATTCTGTGGTAAGTTGTGACAGATTCTGAACTTGTCGAAACTAGAATCAAGAAGTTGGATCAAAATTTAATCCTTCCATTTGTCAACCAGTTAATTTGTTGTTGAGGTTGAAGCATATGAATATTTCATGAAAGGTCCTTATGACCATAACCATTACTATATTATTTTGGTTTAACCTTCAGACTTTAGATGTTTCAGCAATCGTATATAGGAACACACAATTTAAAAAATTTAAATTTAATGTATCTATTTCGTTTATTTTTTCATATACATGATAATTTTTAATGCTTGTCATAGCAGATTTGAATTGGGATTCAGATCAAGTCAAAGAATTGTTTTTAAGGCCAAACTTTTGATTTCACTCAACTGAATTTATAAATAAACCATAATTGGATAGAACACCAATAAAACTGAAAGCCATCCCATGAATGATATCATAAACTCATAAGTGGGTTGAAGAAATCTTTGTGATCAATAGAGATGGTTTTCCAGTTCATCTGAAAGTAAATCAAAAATAATATTGATAGCTCTGATGAAATCACACATAAATTTGCTAGTACAGGAAACAAGATTGTTGGAAAGGGTGTAATGAAGAGGTTAAAATCATGAGATCGGAATTCCCTTCGGAGACTTGGAAATGATGAACAAGAATACCAAAAGACAAAAATGCAACTTGAAGTTTGTTTCATCATCGTGATGTATAAGAAACTGAAAATTCAATGAATCACTCGTTTCTGGTTGAATTACGATTTAAATGACGCAGATACACAATCAAGATGGAACACACTTTCAAAAATAAATATTTTCTCAAGCAACAATAAATGAATGCAACTTAATTCAATTGTAGTGATGTACAAAGAAATTAAACTATAATAAACC